CTGGATTTTTTCCCCAAAAAATGGGTGGGGTCAAAACCATTACCTTTCAAAATAAGCACTAAGAAATGGCCTGATATTGTTGCAGTTTCATGTCTGCATTGCCAGCAGGAAAAAGGATGCCAAAATTTGCACAGCAAAGGGCAGCCTGGATGTTGACACACCCATATCAGCAATCAATATGGTCAATAGGATGTGGTCATCTACTAACAATGTAGTTCCTTTTCTTTTTTTGAAAGGCCTTTTTTTTGAGGATCAATATCTCAGCCCCCGCAGCCTGGATTCTTTCCCACCAAAATGGGTGGGGTCAAAACCATTACCTTTCAAAATACACAAGATTGGTCTTTCTAATTTATCTAATCTGCTTTAAATCGAGGGATGCTTAGGGTTGCCTATTTCTGAATGGAGGTAAAACAGTTTTATTTTTCAAAAATAGTAACTTAACAGCTCTTTACCCAAACTTCCCCAAATTAGTCACAGTACAAGAGCAGACAGTCTGCTACAACTGTGCCTAATTCAGTGTTAATCTGAAGCCCAGTTTCAATGTTTATACCTTTTTTTTGGGGCTGCCCCTATTTTTAGAATTGCCTTATATAAAATTTTGATTTGCTCTGCAAGCAGAAGACTATTGCTGCACAAGATGTGGGTTACACCAATGCAAAGTTGTGGAACCAATATCTGCCCACCGTATAGTTAGTTGATTAATGTTGTCCTGCAGATAAATCAAGCAGGCAAGCCAATGGTTTTCTTCACAGTTCCATCACTTCCTTCACTGTCCTCCCTATCCCACCTCCCTCTGAAATAACGCTGATACAGTCAGGATAAGGTATTATTGGTTTCACATAGAGCAGAGAAGTCAAGTAGGGACTGGGCCACATCAAGCAGCCCCATCTCTGATCCACATCCACCCAGTATATATGGGTGCCCACTGCTGGGAAGCACCCAAATATACTGCTGCCATAATACAGTGGACCCTCGACTTACAGACGGCTTGACTTACAGACTTCTCTGGCTGCAAAATTTAGATTCGATTTGCAGCCGGAGAATCGACTTACAGACCAGAAAAAAACCAAAATGGAACAAAAATAGAATAAAAGCTGCCAGTTATGGGATTAATTGGTTTTCAATGTATTGTAGGTCAATGGAGACTCGACCTACAGACTTTTTGCAGCCACCGTTCCAATACGGATTAATTCCGTTCAAATATACTGCTGTCATAATACAAGCTTCCATGTAATTCAAAATCCAGATTATGCAGGATTATAAATTGCATGGGAAAACCCCATGAGTCTCTACAGAGCACACCACATTGGTTCTCCAGTTACAATTCTGTGCTCCACCAATTTGATTTCATAATCAAATAATAATGTTGTCGTCGTCATCTTAGAACTGCTAAACTGGAGGGGACCTGGTGGATCTTCGAGCCCAGCCCCATCAGGGAGGCACAGTGGGGAATCAAACTTTACAAGCAACAATGCAGATATATATGCTCAGTTTCTCCTTGAGAAAACCAAGGTTAAGAGAGTGTCTGGCCCAAGGCAGCACACTGTATTTGATGGTCAGGCTGAACTCTGAATTCAGGTCTCTTTGGTTTTGATTACACTATATCAAATATTTCCACTGAAATACTTAAGTTTTGAGTGGGGTTTTTTTTGCAAAATATAAAACCATAGTATAATAAATACAAGTCAAATAACTGTGAGAAATCACAATCTATTTGAACATCTGCAGTAAAAAAACCGCAGAAAAAAATAATCTATACAATCCATTGTTTTTCTAGAGAAAAACAGACAACAGTTTGAGAAGCTCAACATACAAATGCTAAGCATGCTTTAAGTAGAATAAGATGTACACTCACTCAAAAAGAACACTGACAAGAAACAATTCAACATATACTGGAACTAACACCCATATGCAGTACAGCTGGACTACACATGAAATTTGCTCAATACAGCCCCCATCTGTGTGTGTCAGTTGCCAGTCGTGGATTGTGCTACAAGGGTTTGCTCTCTTAAACACAACAAAACTTTTTACCTCATGTTTTGAGTAAAAGACAATGTTTCTTTTTTGGTTGTTTATTAGGATACCACACTACATCTGGCAGTATCTAGTTGTGATGCTGTCAGCGAACTCACGGTTTTCATTACAATACAATAAATCACTCAGGCTCACACCTAAGCCATGTAGTATTTTGCATCACAACAATGGAACACTGAGAAAGAAAGTTGTATATCCAAATTTCCTTCTCCTCTGCAAGTCACAAGCAGCAATATAAGACTCCTGTTCCAGGCTGGCTGGAGTTCTGGTGTGTTACGTGCAGTTAAGTCACAATCAACGTACAGCAACCCTAATAATGCTTTCAAGGTAAATGAGGTAATACAGAGTGGTCCCACCAGTTTCACCACCACCCTAGTGAGTTTTCCATGGCTGAGCAAGGATTTGAATCCAGATCTCCTGAGACCTAGTCCATAACACATTCCAGTAGATCACTCTGGGCTACCCACAGAGTCCTGGAATGAAGTACCATTCAGGGTTTAGGGATACATTGTAACTCTTGGTGATGTTTCCCTACTGATATTTGATAGGAAGTCTTAATTCACAAATGCCGGAAGAGTTAAAGTTCTCTGACATCTAGTATTCCTTGTCCAGACAGTTAACACACCATAAACAAATATAAATCAAATAATTAATGATATGCATTATCCAAATATTTCCAGGGGTGGATTTTTTTTAAAGCAAAAAAATGTGCTGCTTATATACCGTCAGAGGTGGATTTTTTTTAAAGCAAAAAAGCGTGCTGCTTATATACTGTCCCATAGTGCTTCAAGCACTCTCTGGGTGGTTTACAAGTTAATTATGCAGGCTACACATTGCCCCCCCCCCCGCAAGCTGGGTACTCATTTTACTGACCTCGGAAGGATAGAGGGCTAAGTCAACCTTGAGCCGGCTACCTGGGATTTGAACCCCAGGTCGTGAGCACAGTTTGGCTGCAGTACAGCGGTTTAACCACTGTGCCACGACGCTCCTTTTAGAAAAATAAATTAGGTAGCTCATTAAAATATCCAGATTACTGCAGATTTCTATAAACAGGTTCTTTATCTGTGAGGAACTAGCTAAGAAACTAAGTACATAGGTATAAACACAGTTATGTTTAGCTAACTCAAAGCTGTGGCAACTGATGTTTCAAATACAGCAACTCCTGTTGCACAGTGTATCAAGGCTAGAGCAAAACATTGTACCTGCAAATCAATCCATTAACTGGAGAAACAGCTAGGTAATATAACAAGCATGCTCCGCCTCTTTTCTCTTGTATTTTTGTCTGCTCTCAAAATTTTATGCTGCAATCCTGTACTACTTCATCAGGAAGAAGATCCACTGAATTCAGCTGGACTTACCTCTGAATACATGCACAGAAATAAAATGTTCTAAGTGAAACAAAAAGACAAGATCTATTTATGTTCCACCACAGCAGAATGAATTCTCTCCTTGTCTTAAATGCTCTCTCCCAGGTTTCCAAGACAAGTACACTTTAGGATTTAATCAAAAACAAGACAAAATCCAACTCCCTTAATCACGTCTCCGCATGTTTTCTATCTCACAATACAAACTGATCTTCCAGGCAAGCAAACCATAACCCAGGAATGCCAGCTGCATGGAAACCACTTCTGTATGCTTGCCTTCCCTCTCCAGCTGCGGACCTCTTTGGGCCCACTCAACTGGCCCAGGCTCACAACATCACCTTTCCTTATCTAACACCACTCTGTATTCTCAAAGGCTTTCATGGCCAGGACCTGGTGGTTGTTGTGGGTTTTTCGGGCTCTTTGACTGTGTTCTGAAAGTTGTCCTTCCTAACGTTTCGCCAGTCTCTGTGGCCGGCATCTTCAGAGGATAAGAGTCAGAACTCTGTCTGTGCTCTAGAGCAGTAGTCCCCAACCTTTTTGGGACCATGGAGTGGATCAGCCTCTTAGGAAAGCGGGGATCACACAGAGAGACACACACTCACGCTCTCCGGCACATATGCAAAGGGGTGGGGAGTGCTCATGCCGGCGCTGGCACTCGTGCATGTGCACAAAGCAGCTGTGAGGCGGGGGGAGGTCTGTCTTCATGTCCTGGTCCAGCTCAGGCCAGGGACCAGCGCAGGGCCAAAGACCGGGGGTTGACGACCTCTGTTCAACATCACAGACAGAGTTCTGACTCCTGTCCTCTGAAGATGCCGGCCACAGAGACTGGCGAAATGTTAGGAAGAACAACCTTCAGAACACAGCCAAAGAGCCTGAAAAACCCACAACAACCATAACAACCACTCTCTTTATCGCGGCAGACAGGGGATGGGGAATGCAAGGATTTCAGGTGACCAAACCATCGGAAGGACTGAAATAAAAAATCGCAACACAAAGCAACCCCAGTTAGGTTCATTAACTTCTCAGTGACGTAAAGGGGACTTAGGTATGGGCTCAAGTTCACCTTTGCAAAAGGACTTAATCTGGATCGCATCGTGCCATGAGTTCTTCAGTCTTCACTATCTACCGCATTTCAAGTTAAATTCACGCCAACAAACTGTACAACTGACTCAACAACCGGAGCTTCGTAGCAATACAATAGGTGCAAGGAAGGAGAAAAAAAGGAAGGGGGGTGGGGAGCAAGTCACAAACTTATAATACAAAGAAGGGATCTTCTTGAAGAGCAGAACAACTCCACCTGGCCGACAAATAACCCGCTTGAGGTCACTGCCAATTGTTACTATTTGGATGAGTACAGCGCTGGAAACCAACTGACCGGGCAGGGGAGCAAACCCGGGCGGAAGCCGCGCCAAAACCCCTCACATTCCACAAAGCGAGGGCTGCGGTAGGCAACCGGGAGGAGGGGGGGCAGACCTCCCTTTCCCGAAAGCCAGTCACCGTAACGCCTACAACAAAAGCCGTTTTTCGCGGGGAAGCCACGTGGAGGGGCCCCTCAGCCCCCACGTTGCGGGGGGCCGAGGGGCGGCGTGGGTCTTTCCTTACCTTCCTGCCTCCGCGCCCCACACCGGCGCGCTGCCTCTCTCCGGTGAAACGACGGGCGGCACCCGCGGCCGCTGCTGGTGCCAAAGTCCCGGGACCCAATCCCCCTTCCGCCGGTGGAAGGGAGACGCCGCCTCCGTCGCGCCGGGCGAGGGAGAACTTCGGAGCTCGCCTTGCCCGTCCTCAATACGAGTGAAACAAGTTGTTACTAAACTACTGAATACTTTAAAGCAGGCTTGTCCAACCTGCGGCCCGAGGGCCACATGCGGCCCAGGTCGGCTCATAATGCGGCCCAGTGCAATTTTTTATTTTTAAAAAAATTCCAAAGTTTCAAGTTACTCGCCGGCCGCTCGCCTCTTGCCCCCGCCCTCCCCTCCGGATCGAGCGGGCAGGACGAGCAGGTCGCCAAGCAGGCGAGCTGGCCCAAAAACCTTCCTTCCCGGCTCGTCGAGGGAACTTGGGGGGCTTTGCCGGCCTCCGAGCGACCCCGATTAGAAGGATGCGGAGGGCAACTTGAGGAGGCGAGTTGTTCTGAGCCTTTTGCTCCAGCCTGGCGAGGCCACGGTGCCCACTCCCACCCTTTTTCTCTCCGCCAGGAGAACGCGTTGGTTTCTCTGTGTTTGTCTCTTGTAAAAGGTGTAGGAGCCAAGCTAGAGAAGGGGCCATTCGAAGCCCCACAGACGACAGTTGCGCTTCCTTCCAGGTAAACACGCTCAGGACTGCAGGCTAAGCTGTCTAGTACTACAGTCAGTCTTCATCATCGTTACCACCTGGTGCCCTCTTCGGACACATAATGAAGCGACATTGGAAGTTACTTTATGCCATGGTCCAAGAGAGCATCTCTGAATTTTCAGTCAGGAAGCTTGCCCAGCCTGGAGACACCAGGAAAGAAGCCTAGGACCTTCTGCAAACACAGGATGTGCCATATAACTGAGCTGCAGCCCTGGCATGATTTCATTTTCACATGGATGAACCCGGGGAAAAGGCATTTGGGGGTGGTCTCCATGGGGAAGGCCACTACTTGGTCTAACTTCACCAGTGGTGTGAACAGTGGTCTCCATGGGGAAGGCCACTTGGTCTAACTTCACCAGTGGTGTGAACTGAAAGCACATTCCCTCTACCAGCACTTCTAGTAGGAACGCTTTCCTGCCATTCATGTGTTTGAATGGTGTGGGAAGAGGTTGCCCATGTTTAGCACTAGGAAGCTCCTCCATGGGAGAACGAACTCTGATTGGGCTACAGTCCGTGGACAGTGAAATTCCATGTCCACACAGCAGTACATGAAGAAACATTTTCACTGCAGGCAATGCAGAGCAGCTTTCCCACATGACCCTGTGATCTTCTTTGCATGTTCTTTGAACATGTCTTTGGGCATATGTATGGATATTACTGGAAATGAACAAGCAAGATGAGCTGAGCTTGCACCACAGTGAAGCTTCTCAGGAAAATACAGTTGCATTAAGCGAGCTGAGCTTGCACCACGGTGAAGCTTCTCAGGAAAATACAGTTGCATTTTCTCCAGATTTGTTAATCAAAACCAAATGAGCCCTGCAAACAATTAGATGCTGTGGATGCCTTTCTGGAAGTGAACAGAAACCATGTGTAAGGCAGCCACTGCAGATCAAAATCCAGCACAAATTCTGCTCAGCTTTAGATTGGGTGGTAGCCTCACATATACTGCCATTGTAGCAATTCCACTGATGTTATTGAGACCTCTGCCCTGTTCAATGAGGAAGACTAAGCACCTCTTTTCCATAGTGTGAAATGATGTGATGCTTTGTTTTAAAATGGAGAATTAAGTATGTTCTCAGGGTGATAAATGAGGCAGGTAAAAAGGTAGAGACCAATTTGCTGAGAGACCAAAAAGGCACATTTACATAGATTTTAGTCTCACTCTGTATAGTAGACATCAGTAACTCTCAAGAAGTGGGGCATGCCCCACAGGGAACATACGATGTTTAATTTTTTTATTATTTAATAGGAAATGGGGGGGTGGACTATGCCTATTGCTTTTACACTGTGAGGCCCTTTTATCATTCTGTTATACTGTACTTATTTGCCCTTTAGCTTTCTTTATCTCTAAAGTAGATGGTAGAAATAGGATTTGTTGTGTGTGGATTGTGCCACAATTAAAATTCAACCAACAAAATCCATCACTTCTCCAGGGCCATAAATGGACATTTTGTCCAGTGTTGGTACTAGACTAAATTCAGGGAAAGCAACACCCATTCTCCAGCTACTCCAATCCAGTGCCATGTTTCCAGTTAAATTTAAAATAAAATCAAGAGGAAGGTAGGTTGGTGGGAGGGGAAATGAGTTTTTGTGTTTTATCAAAAGGGAGTATGAGTTTTAAAGGGCTATAGAGTAAAACAACTAGTCTCAGGTTTCCTATGTGTTCAGATATGGGTCATTGACCCATTGCTCTAACTGCTCCGCTGCACTTGCTCAGCCATCCTCAGTAATAATATATGGTAGTCCAATATTACTACCCAGCTTTCAGATGGGGTAGGGTAAGAGGCCGAGGAACAATGGCTAATATAGCCTGTGTGGGGTATTTTTTTTTAAGTCTTGTATTCTAAAAATGTACATGGGATTTTTTTGATTGTTGAAGTGCTTTTTAACTCCAATTTAAAATGTGTTACAGCTCACGTGTTATACCTCAAATATCTCATTATGAAATATGCAATCCATTTTCTATTCTATATTATGAGTCAGTCTTTTTTTCTAAAACAAAATTGATATACTGTATGGTTCCAATAGTTTTTGGACTGAAGCCTCAATTTTATTTTACACTGGGTGCAAAATATGGTGTAATGGATAGAGTGACAGAGTAGGACTCGGGAGACCTGTGTTCAAATACCCTTGGTCTTTGAAAGTAACACTGATGAAACTACTTCTGAAATATCTCCTTTTTTCTGAAAGTCCTATTGGGATCACTCTATGTTGGCTACAACACGGCAACACATAATACACACGTAGGTTTATGTATCAAATTTGTTTTAGGTGGAGTTAATGTTTCTATCTTGTGTTGCAATATTTTGAGGGCACAGCACATTTATACTGTTATACAAGCTGTATACTCACTGCTTTACATTATAGCCAAGTGTCTTTCTTCAGCGTTGTCACATGAAAAGATATACTAAAATATTTATGAAATGTGAGGTGGTGTACTCACTTCTGTGATATACTGTATATATTTCACATTACATATTTTTCACAATCTCTTTGCCCTAATAACTATGGTATCTGAAAGTGTGCATTAGGCAAGGACATTGTGAAAAATATATATTGCAAAAAAATTGTATGAATATTATAACAAGCGAGTCTGGACTGAGAGCATGAGAAAGCGCATAACTAAAGCAAGTATTTCTGGTAATGATTCAAACTGTTATTTCAGTCATTATTTAAATCACTGTGATTTAATCAAATCCATCCTTCTCTTTGCCTCAAAGTAATTTTAAGTCTTGTACTGCCAGGATCAACTTCATTCTGTCATGAGCTATTTGACTTCTTTAAATTATATATTGCTCTTTTCCTTCCTTCTTGCTTGCTTTCTTAACTACAAAGTCAAAGGTGAGCCCCTTAAACAGAAGACCCTAATCTCTAAAGGAACATTAGGTGAGACGTTAAGCAGTTAATGTCTGAAGTAACATAGGAATCTCATTTTGCTCCTTGACAAAGGTTAGCCCCATCTACTATGGGAATGCAGTATCTCCTCCACCAGCCCCTACCCAAAGTAGAACCATGATCGATGAGGGAATAATGGCACAAAACATTTTAAAGCTGACTTATGCCTTAAAATGGTCTGCAAAACATTACCCATTATGCCCCCCACCCTTTTTTGCTATCATACCCAGTTTTCACATGACTTTTGAAGTGCAACTTCATTGTACTACAACTGATTACAGGTAAGTGCTTGGCCAATAACGTGTTCCTTTTAGCCTCTATAGTAACACTATAACCTGCCAAGTCAGCTTCTGGTGAGGTCACAGGTTCATAGGTTGGAATGAGATCACCATAGCCTGAATGAGCCTTCTTGATCAATATCAAATCATCTCTAGAAATACTCTAGTGTGTAAATGGACTATTGTTATTGCATATTTGGTTTGGTTTTATTTATATACCCATTTTCTCCCTGTTTGGTTAAGAATACCAGAATGAGCTTGACAAAGGGCATAGGTCTCCACTATACTTTGTGGCCACTGTAACAGCTGTTTCCATCCTCCACCCATTCAGTTGTTATTCTTTCAAAATGTGTCTCTTACACCAGCAGTTACACAGGCAGATGTACACTTGAAGGCCAAGTGAGTCAGCCCTTTGTGGGTTTGTTCTTTCCCAGCTGTTTCCTCTTCACATCATACTTTACTTTTTAATGATAATTTTGCCAACAATACAAACAAAAATAAATGGGATTCAAAAAGTCAGTCATATTTTGCCATTAAGTAATTCTGTTTTTTCTTTCTTTTCAATTTCAGCCAGTGTTTACTGAAGTGTATTGGGAACTACAGGGAGTACAGAAGCAAAATGTTAGCCCCGCTAACGCCAATGCACTGCAGTGGCAGAGACCTGAGCATGGCTGTAAATGACACACATTTAAATCCTTGCAAGACTGTACATACAAGAACATGAGAAGAGTCCGGCTGGATTAAGCCAGAGTCCTGTCATAGCCCAACACACCGTGTTACCTCAGGGTCCAAACATGTGCCACTGGAAACAGAAGGGTAACAGTGATCGGTATTTGAAGGCATGGTACCTCTGATCAAAGAAACATGAGGCCATCATGACATGTAGCCTGAATTCTTGTTAGTGTATGCCACAGGGATTGAGGCTGCTGATGGTGATCCAGTGGTGATTTTTTTTTTACTATTAAAAGCCCCCCCTTCCAAGGCTCATGAGGCTTGCCCAAAGCAAAAAGAGAGCCTTGAAAGTTATTCCACGGGGATTGAGGCTGCTGATGGTGATCCAGTAATGATTTTTTTTTTTACTATTAAAAGCCGCCCCTTCCAAGGCTCATGAGGCTTGCCCAAAGCAAAAAGAGAGCCTTGATGGAGGGATATGAAGCTTTCTATGTATTTAAATTAAATATTGCCAGCAACAAATGATGACATCATCTGGCTTATGCAGCGTAACATTGAAAAGCAGGATTTTGACCCGTGTTAAAGAAGCTCTATAGTAACATGG